CGTCGCTTTTGAGTTTGTCCCTCTTAGCTTTTGGCCAACCTGCGGGAAACGCTTTAGTTACTATATAATTAACTAAATCGGCATACCATGGAATACAATAATCAACTTGAAGGAGCAACTGTTCGTATGGGACTGTCTCCTTTAGTGGTAAATCGTCATTGTTGGCACAAGGGAGACGACTCAAATGATCGGCGACAAGGTTCTCCGATCCCTTTTTGTCCCGAATCTCCAAATCAAATTCCTGTAAAAGCAATAGCCATCTGATAAGTCTTGGTTTCGCTTCCTTTTTCGCCACTAAATATCGTAATCCTGAATGATCAGAAAAAATTACTACTTTAGTACCCAACAAGTAAGAACGAAATTTTTCTAATGCAAAAACTACTGCTAATACCTCCTTTTCGGTAACAGTGTAGTTCAATTGAGCTCCACTCAAGGCTTTTGAGGCGTAGTAAATTGCGTAGGGACTTTTTCCTTCCTGTTGTCCTAACACCGCTCCAACCGCAACATCGCTTGCATCGTACATTACCTCAAATGGTAGCTCCCAATTAGGGGGCGCACGATTGGCGGCGATGACAAAGACTCCTTAAGTGTGTCAAATGCTTTCTTGCACGCCTCGGTGAAATCGAACACCGCTCTTTTTTGTAGTAGCTGAAATAATGGGCATGCTATTTTTGAAAAATCCTTGATGAACCTTCGGTAGAGACCTGCATGACCCAGAAAGGAACGTACCTCTCGAACACAATTAGGATATGGTAACATGGAAATTAGATCGACCTTCGCCTTGTCCACCTCGATGCCTCATGATGATACAATGGCCCAAAACTACTCCTTGTTCTACCATAAACTGACATTTCTCCCAATTGAGTACTAAATTCACTTCACAACATCTTTCCAAAATCAAAGAAAGATTAGCAAGACAACTATCGAAGCTATCCCCGTAAACACTAAAATCGTCCATGAATACTTCAATAATTTTCTCAACATGTTCAGAAAAAATACTTAACATGCACCTTTGAAATGTCGCCGGGGCATTGGAAAGACCGAATGGCATTCGTCTATAGGCAAACACTCTGAATGGGCATGTGAATGATGTTTTCTCTTGATCTTCCGGGGCGATAGCAATCTGAAAATATCCTGAAAAACCATCTAGAAAACAATAGTGAGCTCGACCAGCTAATCTTTCAATCCTTTGGTCAATAAATGGGAGAGGAAAATGATCTTTCTTTGTCACGGCATTAAGCTTACGATAATCGATGCACTGCCGCCAACCAGTTTGGTTTCTTACCAGAACTAACTCACCATTTTGATTTATCTCCACGGTTACCCCGGACTTCTTGGGAACAACTTGGATTGGACTTATCCAAGGACTATCGGCAATAGGAAATATGATTCCTACATCCCGGAGTTTGAGGACCTCCTTCTTAACAACTTCTGTCATGATTGGATTCAACTTTCTTTGGCCCTGCCTCACCGGCTTTGTGCTTTCCTCAACTGTGATCTTATGCGTGCAAAATAAGGGGCTTATACCTTTGATATCCGCTATCGTCCATCCTATCGCTTGTTTGTGTTCTTTTAGCACTTGAATCAACTTTTCCTCTTGTTCCGTCGTCAACTTCGATGAAATGATCACCGGAAGAGTCTCATTTTCTCCCAAATGGGCATACTTCAAATGGCTCGGCAGTGGTTTCAACTCCAACTCCGGTGGCTGCACAATCGAAGGCAATAAATGCATATTAGTCTCGGGTAAGAATATAGGAGCATGGGCATACCTGTGTGAAACTAAAGTTGTAGCTTCTAATGCTTGCATCACTTCCAACAAATCTGGACTCAATCCAAGTGTTTCGTGAGCACCACTTCGAGCGCATCGTCACCCCTTAACTCAAAAGCATCCTGCACTTCAAGGTCAATAACATCTAACGAGATAACAGAGTGAGGATCCAGGGGATATTTAATCGCATCAAAAATTTTGAATTCAATTTTTTCCCCATCAAATTCCATCGTCAAAATTTCATTCTTTACATCAATCTTAGTATCCGCCGTACACATAAAAGGCCTTCCTAAAAGTAGTGGTGATGGGTTGGGCGAATGTTCATCATGCATTTCTAAGACATAGAAGTCAACTGGGAAAATTAATTCATTGACTTGGACAAGGACATCCTCTATAATTCCTTCGGGATATGCATGCGTCCTATTAGCAAGTTGAATAATAATCCCGGTTTTCTTTAGCGGTGCAAGATTCAAACAGTTATAGATTGATTTTGGCATGACATTAATTGCCGCACCCAAATCTAACATAGCATGCTTGACTTCTAGTTGCCATATTTACATGGGATTGTGAACATACCCGGGTCTCCGCACTTCGGTGGAATCTTTCTTTGGAGGAGGACCGACACATTTTCGCTTGCGATGATGCATTCATCACCCTTCAACTTCCGCTTGTTGGTACACAACTCCTTTAAGAACTTTGCATACTTTGGAATTTGGTGGATTGCGTCCAATAGGGGTATATTGAGCTCGACCTTTCGAAAAATCCCCAAAATCTCATTATCCCTTTTTGGCTTTATCAGCTTTGCCAACCTGGACGGAAAAGGGGCAAGATTAGTATTTAATTTAGTGACAGTTTTATCAATTACCTCATTTTTCTTTGCATCTTCCTTCTCAATTCCCTTTTCAATGGTGCTCTCGTCTTTGTCCTTCGGGATGATTGGTTCCGGAGCCCCCACCGTCTTCCCGGTCCGTAAAGTCATGGCACTAACATTCTTTGGGTTCATTTCCGGTTGTGATGGCCATTTCCCCGTCTCTCTTTCCTTAACATGGCAAAGATCCGCCGCTATTTGCTCCACACGAGATTCAAGATTTTGAATGCTCGCCCTCGTATATTGCTGGAATTGGATTGTGTTAGCGGCCATGGTCTTCATCATTTTCTCCAGTGAAGTATTGGATTTGGAAGGCGGTGGTGGTGGTTGGGCAAATTGTTGCGGAGGTGCTTCCGGCAGGAACCCTTGATGGTGTGAATTTCCATACCTGAGATTCGGATGATCCTTCCACCCTGGGTTGTAGGTGTTTGAATAGGGATCATATTGTGGGCGCCTTGGTTGGTTGAAACCGGCTACCTTCACATCGGCATGATTGTCCTCATGCAGGGTAGGGCATGCATCGGTGTGATGCTCCGGACTCGTGCAAATTCCACACGCTTTCACATGGCGTGTGTTTCCTGTAGCCAATTGATGAACAACTTTTGTAAGTTCAGATATTTTTGTTGTCGAAGAGAATCGTTACCTTCCGAATATTCGACTCCTCTTGTTCCAAATTGTTGCGAATTCTCTGCCATCCTTGCGATCAACTCCCATGCAGCTTTCGGGGTTTTATCCGTCAATGCTCCTTGGCTAGCGGCATCAATGTTGTTCCGGTCTCACATGCCCAGTCCTTCATAAAAGTATTGGAGCAAAAGTTGGTTAGTGATTTGGTGTTGCGGGCATCGCGCACAAAGCCTGTTGAACCTCTCTAGGTATTCATGCAACGTCTCTTCTTGTTGTTGCTTGATTCCGAAAATTTCTTTGCTTAATGTCGCCGCCCGCGATGCCGGAAAATACTTCTCCAGAAATTTCTTTTTCATCTCCCTCCAAGTAGTCACGCTTCCCGCCGGTAGAAAAAATAGTCATTCCTTCGCCGCATCCTTCAATGAGAAAAGGAATGCCCGTAGCTTTACTTGCTCTTCCGTAACCATTGGTGGTTTCATGCTCGAGCAAACCACATCGAATCCCTGCAAATTTTTATGTGGTTCTTCTCCTGCAAGGCCATGAAACGAGGGCAAAAAGTGTATTAGTCCGCATCGTAATTTGAAACTAGCATTACCTTCAATTTCCGGCAAAGTAATGCATAGAGGTTGTAAATTTAAATTAGGCGCAGCGAACTCCCTGAGCGTGCGGGTATCCTCTTCCGCCATATCGGGCTCTTGCTTGATCGATTCTCTCAGTTGAGAACTCGATGCCTTTTCAAATTCCAGCTTTCTTTTTGCTTTCTTTCGTAATTTCCTCGCCAATCTCTCGATTTCTGCTTCGTATATTAAATTTCCTGTACGAGAAGAGCGGGGCATAAACTATAGAAATATATAATATATATAATAAAATTGAAAAATAAAACAAACGCCAATCCCCGGCAAAGGCGTCAAAAATTGGTAGCCTCGATGCTACCAATAAAATTACTCTTAACACCACGTGTAGCAAGTGATGCCAAGGTCGATCCACAGGGACTGTGAAGTTCAATTTCTGTTTTGTCACAATTTTTAATATTGGGAGATGGATTAGCAATTCACTAAAATAATTAAAATAAACGATGGAAAATAAAATTTTGATTTCAAAGAGATTAACTTCTAGCCCAACGAGTGAATAAGAAACCGGATTAAAGATTCGATCATTGATTTTAAATAATCTTGTTATTCAACTGATAAATTGGTTATAGGCATTAGATACGATCATAACACCCAATTTTTCCTTACTTCATTGGCGGCAATGGTACGACCGATTAACTGCATCCCTAATCAAAGAAATAATCTAGGTACGACCATAAATTAATTTCTCCAATTGAAAATAGCATGAGAAAAACCCAATTCAAATATTTAATCAATTACAGAAAGATTAAATTATTTGATCATGCGATTCCTAGGCTAAGCTTGTTAACCTATTTACCACTTTATGAAACACATACACAATTACGGATGTAAATGTTCAATTGGCATACAATTGCTAAACCAATCTAAGATTGGGCCACGATAAAAGATTAAATAAAACAATTGCATACATGAATCACAGAAATCACACAAATATCAATTTACTTAAACAAGATTCAAATTAACTCATAACACAATCTCACAAATCCCAATCCAAAATCTACATTCAACCTTGGACTAGACTAGGAATTTAACTATTCATACTTATAAATAAATAAATAAAACAATAAACTTGATGATCATCTAAAAGTGCTTCCTCTCTGAACGGCCTTCTCAATCCTCCACTTAGACTATGAAAAGTGAGTATGAATTGTGATACCACATCCAATGTCTTGCCCCCCCCCCCCTTTTATAGATGACCGGGTCCTCAATCACTCCTTTAATTGCTCCTTATTAATCACGATGCCAACAATCAAGCTTTAATTCCGTAATCCACCTCTTTCCTTAGCATTGGAGCTTAATTCAAGTCTTTCCAAAATTATTTGATCGAAAATATGGCATGGACGTGAATCGCTCAATTACCTTGCACAAATCAATACATGCCAAAAGCGAGTATGAATCTATCCAAAACATTAATTAAATCTTACAATTTATCTCTGGAAAATATATAATAATATATATTTATCACCATAAATGGAATATCCTCTTCATGACGAGCCGAATGAGATGTCGGAATCGATTTTTCGTGTTCTCTAGCTTCGATCGAAAATTCCAAAATTAGTTTTGGTGACGTCATTGCCGATGACGATGTCGTCGTCAATTCTGAGTCCGACGACAAACAAGGTTTAGGTGTGGTTGAAAATATATTTTCCGGAAACCCCAAAAATCCCAAAAATCCAACCTCACTCATGAAGTATTGTTGATGTTTCTTTTAATCTTGTGTCCGTTGGCTATGGAGTTGGAGGAGTACAAAGAGGTATTAGTAAGTGTATTTCATTATAAATGAATTCGAAATACGTTTCACCCATTGTGCATATTTACCTTGTATGTACCTCTCTTGATGCAATGAACATCTTTCAACTTGTTTGCATCGAAACTGTTGACTTTGCCCTTTCTTTACCGCATTTTTCATTGGCAATAAGAATATTGTTGTTTTGCCCGCTGTCAAATGCGACTTATGGTTTTTTGTGAGAAACCAAATTTCGTGGTAGCCTCGTTGATTTTTTTCTGATGGGATTTTCCGTCAGTTGAATTTTACAACAAAAAGATGGCTATTTAGTTGAACTCTTCATTGCTTACATCCATTTTTGTCCATCTTTAAAGTATTGAAAAATAATGGAATGTGTGATGGAATGGTTACTTATATACACTAATTGAGGGGAAAATTAGTGTTTCATTTGGAGGAAAAATTGTGTAATAGATTTTTGAAGTGTTATAAGGATTAACTTATTGTTATTCCTTTATTGTGATTAACTTGTATGTGTTTGTGCTATCCTAAAAAAATGATGCAAAATAACTTTCTTGATGAACCAATTTGAATATTTGATTTTTCGATGATATCGGGATTCAATTTACATACTCGGGATATATTGGTTACAATATCGTTACGACCGGCTTGGTACATTAATCAGGTTGTCTAACATGTGTTGTTATGTAATTTGTTGTATAATTTAATTTGACTTTTTTAATAAAAAAATCAAAATGTTTGACTAGCTGATTTTGGAAGAGATTAATTACAATATTTGATAAACATTTATAATTATTTATTGTATCTTTAATGATATTATTAATTATCCATTTTATTACTTGATCTTTTTTCAATGATAAATAAAAACATTTCAATTGTTTAGGAACACTCTTACCCCAATATTAATATAATATTATTAGTTTCAAAATTTTGTAATCCTCCCAAATATTTCTATTTCTATTGTTTTAACAGAGAGAGTATAGAATTATCCCCTTCAACTAAAAAAATCATTCCTGACAAATGAACGAAGTGAATTGATTCTTTCTTGGCAATGAAAAGGAGGAGCATCCATTTCCAATCCAGATTTATATCCAATAAATTCTCGTATTTCAAATTCTGACTCCAAAATTCAAGTTCAAACTTTACTGGCACCTAATTTCCAAAGTTATTAGGTTCAATGGAAAATTTACCATCATCACCAATTTATGAAAAAAAAAAAAAGAAAGAACAACACATTAGCAACAGCCTTTGTTATATTCATCAACCAAAAAGCCTTTGTTATATTCATCAACCAAAATGGCTTACTGATTAACTATACACACCCAAGAAATACTACATATACATATATATATATAATGTATATGTATGTATGTCTGTATATCCTGAGAACTAACTAACTAACATAACCTCCTAAGACTTAGAAAGACAGCATGTGTTGTGTTAAGCTACGAACAAACGAACCAGCACACAGCTCCAGAGTAAGTAAAACTTAGGACTTACTAACTTCAAAATAATCAACACCACACTTCTAATTTCAATACGATATGATTGATTATTAAGACAGGATACGATAGGATAGGATAGGACAGGACAGAATGCGCGCACCTTGCCGACTCCTATAGAGTATTTCTCTTTGCAGCTGGCCTTGTGGTCGAAACATACAACTCTGCCGACTGGTAAGTCTTAACCAGAGGCTGAATTGTGAACACGGCCGTAATGACAATGAACACTCTTGAGTCGCATCAGCTCCTTCCGCCGCCTCCTGGCCAGAGTTGCAGCGGAGACATCCTCGGCACTTTTAGGCGAGGAGAAGCTGTTAGGATCTAGATTCTTGCCAAACAAACCGTGCTGAATACTTTCACTTGTACAACTAACACAACCTCCGCAAGAATCATCTACCCGACGATTTTCCAAGCGCTGACAGCCGTTACATGCAGTAGGTACTGCAGAATTCAAAACCTCCATGTTCAAGTTCATGTCTAGGCTTGATGACAACTGATTGCTTTCATTTTGTGGGACGTCGTTAGAGCAGGATTGGAAGTCAGCCGTACCTCCGTGAGTGAGAAAAGGAAGCAACCACGGCACGGCAACTACAAAAAACGGGGTTCCCTGCCTGCCAGTCTCCAATGAGTTCCCTTGTCCTTGATGCGTACACGGTACTGGAAAATGCGACGGATTCATAGCATTGGATACCGGAGCACATTGGAATCGGACACTTTCTGAAGACGGGAGAACAGGGGGCCAAAAGCAAGGAACCACCGGCTGCTGATTGCACAAAAATGTCTGTGTGCTTGTACTAGCTGGACAAGGATTCTCAGATGAGGCTGCAGTTTGTTCTTCCCGGAATTCTCCCTGTTTGCTCGTCTTTATTTTAGCCAACTGCAAAACTCCGAACAAGAAAAGGTGTGGCGTAGCATATGTTTATGAGGGTAGAAGCTATTAGCCATCACGTAGTATTTTACCTCTGCTTTGAGAAACTCATTTTTATCCTTCAAGGAATTGTATTCGCCCTCTGCAGCCTCCTTTTTCTTTTCGACAAGAATGGTTCATTAAGAAAAAAAAGTTGTCTCAGTAGTTTCGAATATATAATCAAGATAAAGAGGGGAGGATAACAGTAGCAACCCTCTTCAAAATTTTGTTCTCTTCCAATACATCGGCAGCTTTTCTAGTCAACTCAAGATGCATAGCCTGGTCGAAAAGCAATCAATAGATTTTCAGTACTGACAAACATAACCAAGTGAACAGGAAAACTAAGCACATACACTGATACGATACGCATACGCATACAAAATTCAGATGTTGTATCCGTCAAAAACACATACTTATACACCGAAACGTCAAAATATTTGAGAATAATTCTGTGATTATTCACAAGGACAAATGAACTTTGTAGAGTCTGTGCATGTATATAGACACACAACTAAAGAAGCATACTATGATTCATACATAATATCTAAAGTTAACTGTATCATGAGGTAAATTTTGTCCTAAAAGTTGTTAATTATCTTTCGACTCAGAAAATTCTTAAAAATAGGTCTTCCTCCGGTGCCATTATGTACTCTATCAAAGGTGAAGGAATTCAAGACTCTCTTTGTGTCTTAAGGGAATAAATATACATACACACATACATAGAGGGGATTGGCATCTCACTCTTTCAAGAAACTGATCAATTTCCCTTACATTGTTCGATGTCATGATCCTTACTATTCCTTTTTTATGGCAATAGTCATTAGATAACTAATCTAAGCGCATGGAAAATCAGAAGTGTAAGAAGAAAATGTGTAACTACAATAGATTGATGTCGAGCTTTCAATATTGCATCAATTAAGCCTGGCGGATAATTTTCAAGTTAAAAATCAGCATTCAATTTAGTCATAAGAATTTTTTTATCAGAACGGTTTAGTCCGCAGATAAGCACTGTTGTTTTCAGTAGTCAATCAATTTCCAAAGAATCACAATCAAACCGATAAATAGTAAGGCAATATTGATATCACTATTATATGAATAAACTCACCTTTCTGCGACGAATCGTCTGCCTAGCAGACTCCCTATTTGCTAAGATCCGGCGAAGTTTTCGTTCTTCCTTCTCAACCTGAACCAAAGAATGGAATCACACTATCTCCACAAGAATGTATATGATTGAACAATACAGAAAGATCCTCAATCAAGGTACCTCAGACAACTTCGGCCTTGACTTGCTGATAAAATTTGGCTGAAAACTTGTATTGCAAAACTGGCTCGGAGTCTTTTCAACAATTTTATCTATCTTCTCAAGAGTTCTAGTTGAAGTAGTCGCATAATCATAGTATAATTCGGTAGCTTTCGGCTGATCCTGATATACACAAAAACATTGCTAAAATTCCTGCAAAAAGCATGTGGTACACGGTAATAATAACCATTGCAACATCATTCTAAGAATGGATCATTAGATAAAGTCTAACAACTTACAAAACCATAAATCATTACACATTTTCAAGCATTTTCTAAAGAAAACATTATCAAACATGCAAAAGCAGATAAATTCGATGGCCAGACTGATGATGTACTTCAACATTTTCAACCACCTATAATCCAAGATCTCATAACACATAGGATCTATCAAATTAGGTAACTTCAGCGAGGAAATATTCAGTTCAGTTTTGAAGGCACCGCGAATTTAGCATTTTGTCATCTGATAACTTCAGGCCATGATTCAAATTGGAAAAAATCACAAAAAAAGCAAAGAAGAATCCCTATGGTCCCATTCACTATCCAATAACCGCATCGTGAGATTTTATCAGATCAAATTTGTCAAGAAATGATGTTCTCACATGAAGAATGTTAGATGCAGGGACAGAATACCACTCTGTAATTTCGTATGATGCACCACATAAAATCTCATCCTCCCACCCCAGCACTGTCAAAGACAAAACAGAATCAAGAAGGACAAAAGATAGATGAGAAGAAAGCTTTTGCAAATTCTTGTCTGTTAAAAGAAAGAAGGGTTAAATCAGAGGAAACAACAACAAAAAGGACTTTTGCAAATTCTTGAACAAGGATTTATGCGTAAGTTAGCTGTGAATTTTCTACCTGATGCTAAAAACTTCAAGACATGACAATAATTCTGTTCTTGAATTTATTCACTCAAATCTTTAATCACGTGTCCCATCATCTTTTTGCAGTTAAATTCCCCCCAAAAAACATGGAAGTATAACCAATTCTTCGTATCTTATCTAAAAGAAAGGCAGAGTCGTAACAGTTAAGGGAAAACAGGGTAGCGAAATCAAACAGTACTTGTAAGCACAGCTTCAATGGATTTACAGTAAAACAAGGAAGAAGGGCAAAAAGTGAGGGAAGCACGCACCGATTCCGCAACCGGCAGCCGTCCGGACACGGCGGAGCAGCCCCGAGCCAAACCAGCGAGAGCTTCCGCCGCCTCGAATTCAAAAACCGCGATCGGATCAAGTTCGTCTTCCTCCGGCGACGGAATCGCCTCCAAGTCAATTTCACGGCATTCCATTATCGGCGGGCTATCTGTTTCTGAAAATCCAAAAATGAAACAGAGGACTGAGCCAGGTAGTTAATTTTGCCGATATTAATCAAGAGAAAGTTCCGAGATTAAGGACGAGGGGGAGGCGTGGATGCATATGGCAGACGCACCATAGACAGGCAGACAGTGAGACAGACGTCGGAACTCGCAATCTCTCTCTCTCTCTCTCTCTCTCTCTCTCTCGCTCTCTCGTCAGTAGCAGGCCATGTCAGCTAGTCCGCTCCTGCTCGTGCGAACTCGCTCGCTCGCACGAGCAGAGCTCAAGGTAGACGATAAACCCAAACCACCGACCTCAATGCGCATGCGGCGCGGGAATTCGAACGAACTAACGTACGCTAGAAGAAATCCTTCGATTCAATTGATCAATTCAGGCACGTAGGGACAATCGTGGATAGAAGGGAAGCCATAAACGAGCAGAAACCATTAATTTATTCAGAAAAGCAAACCTCCAATCCAATCCAATCCAGTCCAGGTCAGTCCAATTGCGGTTGCAGATTTCGATGCGGTGATGATGCGGCTGCTGCGTAGTGCATATGGTATGAGTAAATTAATGGAATCCTGGTGAGTAATTTTGATTTGACGTTGACAGGGGTGTGTGCTGTTACCGTGGCTTTGTGTCCCTTTTGCAGCGGCGGTGGGGCATCCGTTGGTTCGCCAGGCCAGGCCACCATGGAAATTAGCTCGTCCCCCGCCCGCGTTCACGTGGCCCCTCTCTCTCTCTCTCTACCCATCCATGGCTTTTCGTTTTTTCTGATTTTGGGGAATAGGGTTCCATTTTCCACTATGCATAGATAGCATAGCTCAGCGTCTGAGATATTTGAATCGCACCACACCATTAATAGGGCCACTTTTTCTTCTTTCTTTGCTATATTCGGCTAATTTTAGGGTTACTGAGGGATGCTTGGGCTATCTCCAACCCGTTATTTTATTTTTATGGTTGTTATAGTACAAATGCAATTACAATACTTTTAGGTACAATTATTTTTGCTGGTTGGTATCTAATCTATACTTTGAAGATAAGTATTTTTTTTATTCAATTTAAATTATTTGATTAAAAAAATAGAGGCTCCGTTTGCAAATAGACTTTTGATGTTAGTAAACTGAAAAATTGATGATAATTAAAAAATTGTTATATATAAACATATTATATAGACAGTGTCAACGTAGTGTTTTATCTATATATCATAGACAAATGTATGATGTTTAAGGCATATGGATGATTACTTGTTATTACATAAATGTGTAATATTTATTATTTTAGACAGTTCTACTTATTGGTAATATTGTAGTAGAGTATGGGTAAATTAGTTAATTAACCCTACTTTTGTCGGTTATACTTGGGATATTAGGTGTGTGGTTTGTGCTTTTCCAAGTCCATTTGTTAATTTGTAGTAATTTACTTGTAAAAAATATATTGATATAGATATCATTTTGTGCATCGTAACATATACTTTAATACAATAATTCTTTTTATAATTTCTGAAACCTATGATATATTAAAACATCCATTTGAAACTAATGCAGGTGTTTTCGAGTTTATTAGGCATGCAAAACAAAAAAAAAAATTGTCCGACTAAACGGTTGATCAATACATATATTTATATTAATGTTATATTTTTTATATTGAGATTTAAAATTGTGTCTGAATAGACTGTTCACCTCTTCTTCCTTCGTATAATATAATTTATAAAAGATATTTAGAAATATAATAAAAATTAAAAATTAAAAATTATACTTTATAAAAGTTAGTCAAGATAATTGTGTACATAATAAAAATTAAAAATTAGAGAAAAAAAATATAGTATAATGTAAAAGAATATTTTTAAAATAGAAAAAAAATTTGGACGTTTATAACCCAAAAAAAAATATTATACTTTATTTGTGGCCGACACAGTTCGCGTCCTTGTGAGTCTACTATATCAGTCATCTGGTCTCTTGTTCTAATAGCAACCGATGTGAGGTTTGCCATCCTTCAATAATGGTAAAATTTTATATTATTAAAAAAACAATCTCATCCGACCGGAAGGCTTTCTTTTTTCCAACCAACTAATTTGGTCAATCCGCATCAATTTCAGTGAAAATTCGCATTGGGGATTACCTTTATGTTATTTTTAGTATTAGTTTGCTTTTATTTTCTTACTTTTCGTACAATATTTAGGAATCTTCTATTCCAGGTCTTACTGCAGTCAAGTTCAAATTTATTTCGGATTTTACTTTGTATTTGTTGGTTGAAAACAACATCAACAATTTGGTGACCACAGTGGGAGGAAAGGCAAGATTGTTGTACGTCAAACGGAAATTTCATACGGTTGAGGTCCGGCCGAATCATCGGAAGGATCCATATGGCAGGTTCACAGCCTCAAGTTTCTTCCACCACGGCGAGGGAAACCACATTACCTTTCGTGGTTAACACGGGGAAGCCATGTGTTTGAGGGTTCAAAGGTTAGCTGTGAATTGTTCTTTCGAAGTTTGATTTAAATAGACGAGTCGTGTTATAATTTTATGGTGCAAATTCGTGGATCAGTGATAAAAAAAAAAAAAAAAAGGATAAAATTAAGGAGAAATGTTATATTTATTTACAAGGGAAGACATTGTCTACATCTATAAAAGGAGGGCTCTAAGGGCGGTTCGTAGGTCTGTCCATTTTTGTGCAGACCGGGCCATCCTCCGCTGCTGAAAAGCCGCCTGGTGTTCTTGTACAAGCCTCGACCGAATGCCAGATTGTAGTTGGCCATGGAGGCTTCCTTGGGTCTGGCGTTGTTCTGCTACCAGGCGACTTTCCTCTTGGATGCATCCGTCTAGAGTCTCTAGTTCCTTCATTTTTTGGGAAATTTCGGCGGCCAAACTATGGCGCGCCTGTTGGAGCTCACTCAACCGGTTGGAGGCTTCGTTAAAAATCTGTCACTTTTGACAAGGAAGGCTCAATAGCCGCGGTGTCGGGCGGTGGATGAGACGGTGCAGTGTCAGATGTTGGAGGTCATATCAAAGGAAGGTCGACCTGAAGCTCAATGATCCTCTCCATCATCCGATCAAGGATTGGGGCTGTCATAGACTCAGCAGGAGTCTGCACCAACAAGTTAATAGCCACTTGAGCCAAAGAATCAAGGTCTCCAGGACTCAAGTCGGCAAAGGACAAGTCGGGCACCGCGGTCTCACGAGTAGCCTGTTAAAAACAACCAGAGTGATTAGAAAGCTAAATTAAAGGAAAATTAGTGGAGTAATATGGAAGCTACCTGAGTGAGGACAGCGGTGGCTTCAGAAGGGGCCAAGAGAACTGGGGTCAGGGGCAGAGGACCAGGTCGGATCCTCGTCCCGGAAATTGATTGGGGGCTGCAGGATGGGAACCTATGAAGCCCGGCTTCGAACCCTAAAAAGGGGAAAGGGTCAGATTAAGAAAGATTGGAATTAGAAACGAAGGAAATGCAGAAGGAGGAAATGCTAACCACATCTTCATAACTCTGATTGACGGAAGCATCGCCAGACTCTGAATAAGAGACCTCGACTGGTTCGGGGTGTTGGATTGGGGCGGGACATTGGACTGGTCCGGGATTTTGGGCTGGTTCAGGGGCCGGCGGGGCTGGTTCAGGGTTCGGTTGAACCAATTCAGGAGCCACCAACGGATATTGGACGGTGGCAGCTGGTTCAGTTATAAGGGCAACCGCCGCAGGTCCCTAAAATAAAGAAAGCGACGTGAGCTATGGGTGAAAAGAGAACATAATTTGTAATCATTTCATACTCACCAAAACGTTTGGTCGGGAAGAGATAGAAGATGAAGAGGGAATTTGCCTCAACGTCGGGTCCTCCTTCAGATGAATCACGGGCAGTTCCACTGGTGGTTCGACCTACTGCGGAATGACCACCGCAGCTGTTGAAGAAAGAATGGTCTTTGTTCAAGGAAAGGTGAAGTTAGAAAAGTTTTTTAGAAGGTAGAAGAGTTTGGAAATTACCGTTTTGGCTGGGTGGTCGGCTGATCGGTCGGCAGGTCGGTCGGTTGGTCAGTCGGTTGGTCGGTCGTCTGGTGGGTCGGTTGGTGGTCGGCTGGTGGGTCGGCTGGTGGGTTGGCTGGTCGATCGGCTGGTCGGTCGGTTGGTCGGTCGGCTGGTGGATCGGCAGGCTGGTCGACTAGTTGCTCAGTAGTTGGGGGAAGTGACTCTGGGAACAAGAACTGTCAGAAACACATAAGATAAACACAAAATAAAGGTTGAGTTAGGTTAGTCCTTACCGAGGTGTCGGCGCACATTGGCGGGCAACCAGGCGGGGTCCATATGTAAGGACACCAAGTACTCTTCTACCGCATGCTGATCATACACCGGCTCCGTGGTGAGCTTGGTGCGGGCAGCTCTCTTTTTCTTCGGAGCACTAGGGCCTTCAGCAAAAGCCGCCTGCCTCTTCTTAGGAATGGTCGCAGGGAGTGGTGAGCCTAAGGCAAGGGCTGGAGAGGAAATAAGTTTCCCCAACAGCTGATCAGAAGGAGAGGCCACCACAGCCCAAGTGGCCAACCACCAAGAGGGAAAAGCTTCAACCGACTTGGAGTCTCGTCGAAAAGGGAGATAAGAATTGGACGTAAGATAAGAAGAAAGTTGGAAAAGAGAGGGCAAAATTAAAGCAGGGATCATTTACCTGTCGGGACTTTGGGTAATCAGGTGAGGTCGGGCAAGTGGACCCGGCAGACCTTGATAGCAGCCAAACTGTCGGGACAAAAATTGCGGCTGATAATTAAAAGTGTAAAAAGACTTATGATTTTTCTTATCAAACCTAGGACTGGAAAAAAGGGATCGGGGTTTGAGGGCCGAATCCCAAGAATGGGGATAAGACGGATGAGGTAAGAGATCAGGATATGGATGGGGGTAATTAGTATCCGAATAGGGCCAGAATAGCTCGGTGGCGTACTGGACGTAAGTTTCATAAACAAAAATTTTTGAGTTGCTACGGTCGTCCGAAAAAATGGCTTTAATTACGGGAGTCGGAAGGATGGAGTGTGGAATAGTTCGGAGTAAATTGGGCAAAGGCTAACCCCTGCGACCTCTGAGGGTTCGGGGAAATGGGTAACCGACCAAAAAAGGCTGTTGGGAAATACAGCCGTAGCCAGAGCTCAAGGAACCAAAAAAGGCCAGAGGTACCCGTGTCCGCCCTTTTAGTGTCCAGAAGGCGGACACTGACTCTGGACAAACCCTTGTATAAATTGGCCAAAAAAACTGATTTGGAGGGGTAGAGAATTATGTATCTGTAAAGGATACAGGGATAATTCAAATTTCAAATAAATATATATAAAATTGACAAGAACAAAGAAACCCATATACCTGCACAGCCAGAATAGGAGGAAGGCGGTGTGTTCCAGGGCAGTTGCTGGGGCACCGTCCGCACCCTGATGTCGGACAACAAAATTTGTCCAGCCCCGATCTTTCTCAGAGGTGCGGGCAAGCGACCAACCCTTGTGGTCATAAGCCGGCTCCTGACCATCCAACTAACCTGACATCGGATCGTTGCCGACGACAGAGAGATGGGCAATCATAGCCATATCCATCAAAGTCGGACCGATCGGGCCAGTTGAGAGAAGGAAAATGCCCAGTTGGGCATTCCAAAAGGCCGCCACGGCTAGAAGAACTTTATCGTGGAGGTACAGGGGTTGAGTGGTGAGGTAGATGGCCTTGTCGATCCCCTGTCGTCTCCATTGTTCGCCAAAAATAGAGGATAACCTGGACTACCAGGAACGAATGGCATCTTTTGCATCGGTAAGATGGGTTTTGATGTGGTCATTAACGTGTTCAGGTTTGAAGTCAGGGTTGTTGA